GGGTATGTACACAGCACGTTAGTTGTGATGCATTCTTGGCCTCTAGGTATGGATACTTCATCGGGGGAGGCGAATGCCAGGATCAAATAAAAACGTGAGTGGACTTTGGGTCAAGTGGGGAGAGGGAGCTCCTGTCTCCATAGAGAGTGTGAAGAGCGGAGAGAGCTGTGTGTAGGGCAGGGGGAGGCAAGAAACTTGGGTTTCATTCATTTTATGATTCACACCAGAGGGCTGAGATGTATAGACTCCCCCTGCAGGAGGAAAGGATTCAGAGAGCTGGGGATGGGACCCACAGTGCCTGGGGAGTAGATGGGCAATATACTCAGAGAGGGGAACCTGAGAGGACCTCTTCACAGCCCAGCAAGCCACATTTGATCTCAGCTTGAACCCAACACCTCACCACCAATGGGGGGTCCAGAACAGGTAGAGTGAGCAGTCTGCTCCCCAACCTCACTCCGATCTCTGGACTGTGTGCCAAGCCACACATGGAGTTCGGCAGGCTACAACACTGCCCTTGGGACACACAGTGTCAATGGGATACAGAGCACACATGGAAAAGGGAGAGTAAGGCAGCATGTGGAGGCACAAACTAGAGATGGAACTGCCATGTGTCCCGAGGAAGCTGCGGGCTGCAGCACAAACCACAGTCGTCCCTCCATCAGATACTTATGAAGCACCTACTGAGAGTCAGCACAGAGCAGTGAGCAGAACACTCAAACCCCCTGGCCTTCTATAGTCTACCATCTAGTGGTGAGGGTCCAGGGGACACACACAGAATATGACACACTTTCTGTAGCAGGGGTGAGTTGGTCAGACCACGAATCCAGAGCACCCTATATTTTCCAGTCCAGGTTACCACTACAAGGGTAGCAAATGAGTGGCAGATGTTGGGATGAGCTGGCCTCTGGACAGGCAGAGCCCAGCAAGTAGTTCAGCTTCCCATAGACATCCCATTGGAGGAGGTGTGGAAGTCCAGGCCAGGCCTCTGACTGTACTCCTTACCACCTCCTCTCCCCGTCCCCCATCCCTAGCTCCATCTCCTCCATCCTGGGCATGTGGTTGGACCAATGCCCAGACGATTTCTATGAGCTGCCGGATTTTCCCTGCCTCCATCTGCTGGTCGACTACATTGGGCTCAATATGCCTGGATCAGTTCTAGAGCAACGTGCCCAGCTTCTTCTTAAAAATATGAAAGACTCAAAGCCGATTGAGTCAGAGGCAAAGGGTGAGACAGAATGAGGGAGTGTGTGTGAGAGCATGTGCGGAGGAGGACTGGCCGGGTACACAGGGAGGAAGTTCCCAAGTTTGGAGTTGGGATAGAAACAAAGACTAGCCTCAGACCTCTCACCTTGTGGACTGCAGGCTAGGAAGGCTTCTTGGAAGAGGCGTTTGTGGACTGCCACAAAGGCAGTAGCATGGTTTCTATCTGTTGGAAAAATAGATGAAATGCCATTTCTGGAAAGTATTAACTTTCCCTCTTTCCAGGTCTGGAGCTCCACACAGCTGAAGTGGAAGATGTAGAGCTGGAGATAGCTCCTCAGGCAGCTCCTGAAACAGCTGCAGCAGTTACAGCAGAGGAAGAGCCAGTGCCAGCTCCAAACCCAGAGCCTCCCTGCCCTTCATTTGTGGACACAACATCTAGGCTGAGAGAGGAGGAGCTGAGCATCTTAACATTCCCTCCAAAGCTGGTGGCAGAGCAGTTAACAAGGATGGATGCGGTGAGGAGCTGGGCTAGCAGGATGGGCCACCAGAATCAAATTCATTCTGTCATTTGATGACCAAGACAAGACTTGTCTCTCCTTGATCTGAATTCCAATAATCTGCATGTAAATCCCAGCTCTGGCTCTTAGTAAGCATGAGAAGTGCACAAGTTTCTTAAACTCCTGGGTTTCTGTCCACATATGGATAGTAGACATAGCATAAGGCCCAATTTGTTATTTTGAGTGGCTGAGAAGTATATAGTTTCACATGGCTGAAGAGTACTTTCTAGTGGGTGCTCAGTAATGGATGGCACACTCTTCAAGCCAGGGGTCTTCCCTAATTTCAGTCCAAATGAGACAGTTGTTGTTTGTAAGACCCCATGGCAAACTTCCAAACAAAACCTGTAGTTTGTAGCACCCGGAAGAATGTGTATCTCAATGGGGTGACAGATCATAAAGGCTTATCAAGGTGGGCAGAAGGTGTTACCTTGGAACGTGCAGGCTGGAGCCATCTTCGGATGCTTTGCTAGTGAGGATGAGCTGGATGACAGTACTGTGCTCTCTACCTGTCATCCATGACCAACAGACAACTTATTTATTGGATAGTCTCAGTGGGGAAAGACCAAATTCAAGACACACCCATAATACTTATGTCACATCCTGTGCTTCCAGAGCCCCAGCTCAAACCAATGGACCCTGGTCTAGGACTGTGGGATTTGCGCTGGAGTGGGAAATGGTCAAATGACACTTCTCTTCCTCTCCAGGAGCTGTTCAAGAAGGTGGTACCCTACCACTGTCTAGGATCCATCTGGTCCCAGAGAAACAAGAAGGGCAAGGAGAACCTGGCGCCCACTATCCGTGCCACCATCACACAGTTTAATAACGTGGTCCACTGTGTCATCACCACATGCCTCGGGGACAAGTCCATGAAGGCCCCAGACAGGGCCAGGGTGGTGGAGCACTGGATCGAGGTGGCCAGGGTAGGATGTGGGTGAGGCCCAGGAGAAACCCTCGTCCCAGTCATGGGAATTCTTTCTTCTCTTTGGTCAACTCTCAGGATGGGGCACTGTGTTGAAACCCCTACACAGACCCTAGTCCCCTCCTATGCAGTGGCTTTGACTTACTTGTTCCATCCTCAGGTTGAATTTCAATGATCCTTCCTTTGAACCTTATCCTTTGTGTCCAAGGTGTGCCCTGTAGAGTGTCTGTCTCATCAAAGTGTCATGTCAGCTGGGATAGGCTGAGGCTTCAGCAGGTCCAGCTCCAGCTCTCGTCCTCATGGCTCATCCATTTTCCTTCCTTAGGAGTGTCTGATCCACAGGAACTTCTCCTCACTCCATGCTATTCTCTCTGCACTGCAGAGCTCCTCCATACATCGTTTAAAGGAGACCTGGGGAGAAGTGTCCAGGTAGGAGATGCATGGTAGACTTGGAACTTCACACAGGGACAAGAATTGTCCCCTCATGGGCCTGAGGCCTTCTGGGAGGAGTCTTGGGGGCAGGAACTAGGTTGCTGGATAGAGAGTCAGTGCCTCCATGTGTCCTCAGGCCAGCAGTTCAGTGTGAGGGCTCCATTTCCTGTTCTGTCACATGCAGGGTTGAGTCTGATTGTTGATTGTCAAGTGTTCACTTCAAACCCCATAGCTCTCTGTCACTAGAAATCAGAACTAGTAAAGTCTAGCTGTTCAGTAGAAATGGGAAGCATGATCCTTGTTGTACCAACCTTAACCTTCAACACCCCTGCTTCAGAGAGTCCTCAGGGCTTTAATGGAATCCAATATGAAAACCACTCACCTCAATAATAAAGATTTGCTGGGTCCTCAAATAAAAAGGATTGTCACTCATAACCCTTCGTCTATCCCCAAATTTCTCCTTCCTTCTTTCCTCTCCCCTTAGCCGTAGCTTCCAAACTTTTCTAAAGCTGTGTAAGAAGAACACACTGAACAAGGACCTGCTCATTAAGGTAAACTGGAGGCAGGGGATGGGGAGAGACAGGGTGGGTGGAGTTTTGTTGGTTTCCCTTGAAAGTTTATATGGAAATTCACAGTCTTGTTTTGACTTCATTAAGAGGAAGAAGGACTGTTTGGTCAATGGACAGGTGGCAAGCAGTGTCAGGAGTAGCATGCCCCTGGCGAGTGGATGTAGTGGCAGAGGCTGCCCTGCTGTAGGGGGAACTGATGAGCTGACAGAATCTCTGAGCAGACAGAAGCCTCTCCACAGGGTGGTCTGAGACCCTCTGTCCCTTCCCTCCACAGCTTAGTCCAGCTGAGAACCAGCCTTACAACAAGGGCCAGTAGTACAATGGCAGGGAATGAGGTGAAGGCAGGTGACCCAGGGCTTCTTGTTAGGAAAGAGGAGCCTGTCTCTCCTCTGACCCCTGTGAGATCTAGAATCCATTGCTGCTCCTCTTTGGCCATGTGTTTTCTCACCTGGAAAAAGGAAGGGTGAAAATGAAGAGGATTAGAAAGAAAAGATATGTATATAAGCTTTCTGTGAGGATTCACTAAGGAAAGGGTGAGGAAAAACAATAATGATAATAGTGCTATAGAATTGTGTCTTCACGAGACCCTCTGGGGTGAATGGAATTCCCACTATACTTTCATGATGAGGAAACAGGCTCAGGGAGGCCAGGAAGCTTGCCCAAGATCACACCCCAGGGAGAGTTTATTTGGGGTTCGAATCTAGAGGTAGCAGTAGTGGTTGTACCAGGTGATTTGGGCCAGTACAAATTCCACATCAGGGTACAGAAGTGATAAAGCTGTGAGGCCTCATCAACCTACTCTTCAATTTTGGCAGAAGAAAATGTCCAAGTTTTCCATCCTGAAGATGAACCTCAGGAGAGCCCAGGACGGGCAACAGGAGAAGGAGATGGTAAGTGAACCAGGGCCAGGGAAAGGCCCAGAGGGGTTGTCTCAAAATCAGGGGAGCGTTCCCTGTCTAGATACTCACACTGGACATCATTCCTTAATGATACTGGCAGGCCATGGTTGGTTGAATCTGATAGTATCTTGGGCAGCAAGTTACAGCTGACAGAGCAAGAGCCTGACAGAGGATTGATTTGACAGTGGGGAGGGACCAGGGACCACATAGCCTTTGTGAGATGCTAAAAGCTGAGCTCTCAAGATGATTACAGGGAGTTCAGGGTCCATGAACCTGGAAATGGAAAGTTAAGTGGGGGCAGCTGAGAGCTCCCAGGATGCTTTCAGTGGAAACCTCTGAGTGGGACTAATAGTGTCAGGTGAAGGGGTTTCAGAGAAGGGAACTTATGTGTGCACCTGAGAGTGTGTGCTTATCCCTACCCCACCCCAATGTTACAGGATATCTTCCAGGGCACTGTCCCCTACCTGGGAGTGTTCCTCACGGACCTGGTAATGCTGGACACGGCTCAGCAGGATTTTCTGGATGTGAGTGAACCTGTGGACCACGGTGGGGCAGGGACCAGGAGTCATGATCTGATAGGAAAGAACCCTAGGAGTGGAGGAGTGTGGTCCATCTTAACCTACAAGTAAATTGAGGTTGAGCCTAAGCCACCTGTCCCAGTGCCCCAAGCTGACCAGGTAGATGGCTTGACTGACTAGAAACAGCATAAAATTTTGTCTGAATTGGACACTGCAGCTCCCTGAGGGGCCTGACCACTGGAGGTGGGGGGTGAGTGGGAGAGGGCAGTAAACTTGACCCTCAAAGGTCAGGCAACCCCTGAGTCTCTTCATCTGTCATCAGAGAAAGTTGGGCTTTATGATCCTTTACTTTCTGTCTCCTTGTCCTATTCCTCTGTGTGCCCAAAACCTAGACCAGAGCCAAGTGCATGTATGTGTGCTGCCTGCCCTCTGCTGGGCTCCTCCGGTAGTACAAAATGTAAGGGGTTTGGAGGGGTGATGATGACCTAGGGGACCCATTCTGATGGACATTGTGTGTATGCCTTCTAGGGAGGTTTGATCAACTTTCAGAAAAGGAGAAAGGTGAGCAACTTGGGCACAAACCGTGGGTGTGAGGGCGGATAATTCGGAAACCCTCTTGGACAGGACACTCTCTGACTCCATCCTCGATTCCTGTTAAATTTGTGGGGAGACTTTGATTCACAGAAAGTGGACACCCACCACACAATAGTCCCTGTTGTTATTTAGTGCTATGGAGTCTCAGTTCCGACTCACAGCGACTCTTTGGTTGGTTGGTTATATGCCGTGGTTTAGGTTCCTATTCATAGCAATCCTGTGTAGGGTTTCCCAAGTTGTAAATCTTTACAGGAACAGTAAGCCTCATCTTTCCCAAAACAGCCCAATCGTAACCACTATGCTGTCAGAGCTATAGTAGCCCTGTTGTTGTTGTTTTTAAGTTCTGCGGCTTCAGTTCCAACTCATAGAGACCCATTATAGGGTTTCCAAGGAGTGGCTGATGAGTTGAAACCGCCGACCTTGCAGTCCAGCGCATTAACCGGCAGGGCCATACTGGAACTTCTAGGGGACAGAAATGAACCCAGGTTGACTTCTCAGCAAAGACTTTGAATCAGTTCTGAGAACAAGGAGACTCTGGATGGGAGTAAAGGGAAAGAGAGGCCCCTTGGGAGGAAAGGCCTAGAGACTGAACCCCTGCCCCTCCCAGAACGCCCACACAGACATGGTCAGCATCTTGTCCTCCCCTTTGGTCCCAGGAGTTTAGTGTGCTGCAGGAGATAAAACTCCTCCAGGAGTCCTGCCAACACTACACCATTGTGAGCCAGGAACAATTTGGGACTTGGTTCCAGGACTTTGACAATCTCAGTGAGAATGAGAGGTAAGATGTGAACAGGAATTGGGCCATGACATGGGCAGGTTCATCCTCCCTGTGGACTCAATTTCTTGGCCAGTGAAAGGTCTTGTTCCCCAATGTTAGCTGGGCATCTGGACTCCAGCTTCTGGGTAGAAATGAGGTGGGAACCCAAGGGGTGTGGCTCCCAGTAGCCTCACAGTTGCCTCTCTGTCCTGTAGCTACAACATGTCCTGTGAGCTGGAGCCCCCGGCACAGGTGGCCAGCAACACCCACTCATCCTACAAGAAGACCTAAAGGACTTGTCCATCTTCAATATCTGGTGCAAGTGAGTGCTCAGATCTAGGCGGGCAGGCATGGGATTCTTTGGGGTTCAGTGAAGTTTCAGAGTCCAGCATAGACTGGAGGAGTCCAACAGCCTGGCTCTGGGCTCTCACCTACAATCCTAAAACTGGTACACATGTGTTAACCTCTCTGTGCTTGGGCTGACACTAAAATGATTTCTTAAATGTCTGGAACAAATGGGGTACTGTTGATTGACAAAACACTTAGCACAGCGCCTGCCACAAACACCACAGAGTTAACTAAGGGATGGTGGACTGTCTCCAGCAAGGACTTTAAGGTAAGCTGATCCCTCTATCCAGCTGCCAGGACCTGAAAGACATCTATAGCAGTAGTAGACAGATCCCACTCCTGTGACTAGCTTATTGTGTTCCTTTTCTCAGAGTGGGGAAACAGCTGGGAAGCAAGGAAGGCATTGGATACCACAGGGGCAGTTCAATAGACAATGACCACCACCCTATGAACCTGTCCACTAGAGTCATCAGAATATGAGGGATCCAAGGACTCCTAATTCTGAGTGTCACAGCCCACCTCAGCACATCCCTCCTCCATCCACCTATATACTCTAGTGATTCCTGCCCCTGTGTTTATGTTGCAGATTCTGGTCTGAGACCAGTGAAAGCTTGGACTTGGTGGCCTGAGTATGAGTCTTCAGGGAACTGAAGTGTTTATTGTTAACTTGTATTTATGACTTTATTCTTGTATATATTTATTATAAATAGTTTCTTCTTAAAATCATTCAACAAAAGTTTCTTAGTGTTTATTTCCACAATCTGTGTTGTTTGTATTTATTAAATAATTCACATTTGAGTCAGTTAGTTTCATTGTTCTACATTTTGGCATGATTTTACATTCATTTCTTTTCATCAGGAGATGGTTCTAGCTATAGCAATTTCTGTTCAGTTATTGGATCTATTAGATGATTTCTTTTTCTTTAGTGTCCCAGTCATGTAAGTACAAGGTCATGTCTAATGGCACCTAAAGCTTTATCAGAAAATGGGATTTACTCTTCTCCAATAGGCCACAAGCTTCTCCATGAAGTCTTTGAAGATCAATTGTGAAGTGGTCACTATAGAGCCCTGAAGAAGAATTAATTTTGAACCTATAGTAGTCTTCTATACATTCCAATGAAAGGCAACCCAATGTAATGTGGAAAAGATTGAATATCACTTGAAAAAAACCCCACAAAAACTACTTGCTGAAGATAATTCAAAAGTAGATGCAACAGAATGCTGCCAGAAAGCTGCCAGAAATTCAAGCCAGAATCAGAAAAGGATATGAGAATGAAGGGTTTCATTGCTGATATCAGACTGCTATTGCGTAAAAGCAAAGAATATCAACAAGGTGTTTACTTGTGTTGTTGTTGTTACTACACAAAGGCATTTAACTGTGTGGATCATAACAAATTATGGATAATTTTGAGAACGAATAGAAACAATTAATTATGCACAAGAGCAACCTGTGTACATGAGAAAACTATACCAGATACAGTTATTAGATAAGAACAAGGGGATACTGATTGGTTGAAAATAAAAAAAGGTGTACACCAGGGTCATATCCTTTGACCATAATTATGCAATCTGTATGCTGAGCAAATAATCTGAGGAGCTGGATTATATGACTAAGAACATGGCATTAGGATTGAAGGAAGATTTATCAATAATTTGCAATATGCAGATAACACAAACTTACTTGTAGAAAACAAAGAGAACTTACTAATGAAGATCAAAGAGTACAGACAGCCTTCAGTGAATTGTATATCATTGTACTGAAAATAAAAGTTCTTACAACTGGACTAATAAACAACATCATGATAATCAGAGTAAAGACTGAAGTTGTCAAAGATTTCATTTTCCTGGGTCCACAATCAACACACATGGAAGCTGCAGCCAAGAAATCAATGACATATTGCATTATGCAAATCTGCTGCAAAACACCTTGTTAAAGTGCTATAGAGCAAATATATCCATTTAAGCACTATGGTATGCCTGATCCAAGCCATGGTATTTTCAGTCACCTCACATGCATGTGGAACTGGACAATAAATAAGGAAGACTGACGAAGAATCAATGAATTTGAATTATGGTGTTGGCAGAGAATAACGAAAATACCCTGTATTGCCAAAAGAACAACCATATCTGTCTTAGAAGAATGCTACACAGAATGCTAGAATGCTCCTTGAAAGTGAGGATGGTGAGACTTTGTCTCTCATTCTTTGGCCATGTTATCAAGAAGGACTAGTCCTTGGAAAAGGACATCAAGCTTCACAGAGTAGAGGGTAAGCAAAAAAGGGAAAACCCTCAACGAAATGGATTGACACAGGGGTTCGAACACAACCAACAATTGTAAGGATAGCACAGGACCTGGCAGTGTTTCATTCTGTTTTACACAGGGTCACTAGGAGTCAGAATTGATTTGTCAGCACCCAAGGTTCATGCACCAGACTGCAAAGCCATTTGGACGGCAAGGTCAGCAATTCAAGCTCACCAGCTGCTCCTTGGAAACCCTATATAGGGTCTGTATGGATCAGAAGCAACTTGATGGCACTGCACAAAAACAACAACAACCTAACAACAATGCATATGAGAACCATCCTGAAGGCAACATAATTAATAAAATAACCTCTACATGTTCAAATACACATAGTGTGACATCTTCATGGTCTTTATTTACACTTGGGGTTTATTGTCAGTGTTAGCTGTTATAGAGGAGGTTTTTCATATCATTCAGTTGCTCACAGTCTGCAGTGTAAATTTTTCATTCTCAGTAAACACCTACAATCTAAGATAAATTTCTCCAAAACACATTACTCAGAAGAAAACAAAAACAGAAAGTTGATATAGTCATTATATGGTAACAGAAAAATAATCAGAGCGAAATTTAAGCTGATACATTGAGATTAATAACTTCAAGTGCTACTTACCCTACTAGCAAACTGTTGTTTTCAAACTACCATATTATTACTTATTCAGGAACCCCACCAGCCAACAAAGGGCAAAGAGAAAGGAATGTCTTACACCCAACATGACCCACCTAAGAGAAGGTTTTGTAGAGAGCCATGGGGATGAGCAAGAGGATCAGTTCCAATTCTCTCAGGTCTAGATTGAAGGAGGGATACATGTAAAGGAGGGATAAATGTAAAGGAAAAAAATAATCTAGGCAGGAAGTGAAAAATTGTTAAATAACTTTAAAAAGCTTGAGGGAGGAAGTGACTACACCTACATCCAAGATATAAAAACAAACATCTACTGAAGTGGTAGAAATCAGAAAACACAATTTTAAGTACCAAAAAGTGTCAAATTGTAATTTTATTCTGATGTCATTCTACAGGAAATTATTCTTTGTTGAAATAAACAGCAATAAAAGAAATTCTAAAACTCTGTCCAAATGAAAGATTATCCTAGACAGCATAATAATTTCATCCTAAGGAATCTCTAAAAAACTACTAGAACCAACTTGCTAATTTAGTAAAATAATTGGGTTCCAGATCAATAGCAAAATATCAGTTGTAGTTCTATATCATAGCAATGAACAAATGGACATTGCAACTAACAAATTACCATTTACAATAAAATGAAAATGATGTACCTGGAGCTATGTTACCTCATAGAATAGTGGTTTATGTTCTGGGCTGCTAACTGCAAGGTCAGCAGTTCAAATTCACCAGCCACTTCACAGGAGAAAAATGGCACTTTTTTGGTTCCTGTAAAAATGTACAGTCTTGGGAAACCCTATAGAGGGTCACTGTGAGTCAGATCCAATTCAACAGCATGCAGCAGCAGCAGGCTATGTTATAGACTGAATTGTGTCCCCCAAAATGTGTGTCAACTTTCAAGCTATAATTCTCAGTATTTGTAATTATCCTCCATTTTTTATATGATATAATTATTCTATGTGCTTTAAATTCTCACCTCTTATAATGTTAAAAGGAGTCCTGGTATGGCTTTATAGAATAAGCACTTGACCATAAGGTCAATGTGAACCACAAGGCTGACAGTTCAAACTCACCAGCAACTCTTAGGAAACCCCATTCAGGGTCTCTATGAGTCGAACCAACTCCATGACACTTCACAACAACAACGTAATGTTAATGGTGTCCTTCTGTAGCACTCTAGTATCAACACTGGACTGCTAACTACAAGGTCGGTGGTTCAAATCTACCAGCTGTTCCTTTGAATTCCTATACAGGATTGCTGTGAGTCAGAACTGACTAGACTGCACTTAGCAACAACATATATCAATGAAAGGAGCCCTGGTGGTGCTGTGAGATAAGCATTATGCTGATAACCGCAAGACTAGTGGTTCAAACCTACCAACTGCTCCACAAGAGAGATGAGGCTGTCTCTTCCCTTAAAGATTTACAGTCTTAGAAACAGCAAGGAGCAGTTCTACTCTGCCCTACAGTGTCACCATGAATCAGTATGGTAAAAGGGAATCATAGCACAATGTTACTGAGCTACAAGTTACACACAATTTAAGCACTTTAATCAATGAGTGGTATGAATGGTGAATGTGTTCAGTTGCTAACTGAAATGTCGGAGTTCTAATTCCACCCATGGATATTTTGGAATAAAGACCCAGAGATATACTTCAGGAAGACTATCCATTGAAAGCCCTATGGGCACAGTTCTGACACACATGGGCTTATCATGACTCAGTATGGACTTTACATTGATTGGTGATTGTCCCTGAACAAACACTTACACTCTAGCTGGCTGAGGAGGAGTCCAATCAGACTTCCTGTTTTCCTGATTTCTTCTCATAGAACTCTGGGATCCTGATAATGAACACAAGGGAGGGGCAGGTTATGAATAGAAGACAGAGTTTTTTGGAAACCACCTAGGTGGCTTAGGATTCCTGGTTGCACAGTGGGTTGAGTTGGGCTTCTAATTACAAGGTAGGCATTTCAAACCCTTAAGGCTTACTGGTTGGATAGACAGGTGGAACCTTGGAAA